CCCGGGAGGTGTGAAAGGAGCCCCGGGAGGTGTGAAAGGACCCCCGGGAGGGGTGAAAGGAGCCCGGAGATGCCCCGGCAGCAGCAGGATGCTGCACAGTGGCTGTGGCAGCTCCGCAGCGCAGCCCCGGGGCAAAATCCGCCCCCCCAAAATTCATTTTTGGGGCTGCCCCAGGGCCCAGCTCAGGTGACAACGGGAGAAATGAGATGTGACAGCACTTCTGGGCTTGTCTCGCCTCTCTGAGCCCCCCCTGGCTTTTGTACCCCCAAAATCTCCGTGTCCCCATCCCTTCCAAACATCCCATCAGGACGAGGACACGGAGAAGGTGCAGGACACCACGATCCTGGAAATCCCATCTGTTCCCCTGCCTAAACTTCGCTTTTGGGGACTCAGTTTATTAGAGCTTGAACTTTTAATCTGTTCATACTCCAGAGCGTGGCTCCGAGGAAAGAGATGGGTCTGGAAAAAAAAAAAAAAAAAAAAAAAAAAAAAAAAAAAAAGGCAGAGCCACCGCTCTCCTGCATCCCAGAGCGTGCCCAGGGCTGGAGGAAAAGGGAATCATAAAAACAGGATGGAGAGTGCTCGTAACTCACAGTGACAGAGGAGGGGTCGCCGTGCACAGACCCCACTGCAGGAACCACTTTCAATTAGGAATTTTTTAATTTTTTTTTTATTTTTGGCAGGTTCCCAATTTTGTGTCAAACTCTTCTTTTAGCTGGGTCAGCCTCATATGTGTAATTGAGTCCCTGCTGAGCGGCGAGGCGGGAGGGTTGTCTTTGCTGGGAGGAAGGTGGAGGACTGTTCCCCGCAGGAGAATTTCCCATCCAGCTCCAAAAGCTGCCTCCGAGCTGAATTTTTCCATTATCAAAGGAAAAAAAAAAAAAAAAAAAAAAGTTTTTGGATACCACTTAATTTGGGTTGAAAATAAAATCATTTTTTCAAGATGTACGCCAAAAAAAAAAAAAAAATTAAATAAAGGATTAATCCAAGGTGTCCCTCTCCCACCTATCCAGGCTGGATTCCAAAATCCAGCTGTTTTTAGCTGCTGCAGAGGGGGTGAGGCGGCTCAAGGGCAGGGAGTGGGACATCCATGGATTTGTGTTGGCCCGGATATCCGTGCCCTGCTCTTGCTCCCGCAGGCTGGGATGTGGCTGAGCTGGAGCAGGGTGTCCCCTTAACTCCTCTTCAGCATCCACTGAAAAAAAAAAATATTTAAAGCCTTTTTTATGGCCGGCAGAGCTGGCCCGGAGCCCTCCCCCATCCCCCGGGGAATTCAAGGAGAAAATCATTATTTAGCTGATTTTTGTTGACGCTCTGTGTAAGAGTTGCCATGGCTCTCGCCCGGCACACCTCTCCTGGCTGGAAAATCGGGGTTTGGGATGAGGAAAGAGCTGCTGCCGTCACCTGCCAGGGCCAGGCGGGGACACGGGGACAGCCCCGGGGACACACGGCAGCGCCCTGTCTCAGCCTCTCTTTGCTTTTTGGGTATTTCGCACCATTTTGCCACAATCCCCTCATTTTTTTAAATTATTATTATAATTCTCCGGTTTTTCCCAGGCAGGGCTCGGGGTGTCCCGAGCGTGCCGGACTCTCACGGCCCATTAGGATGCGGGAATGAGTCCCCAGGGCCGGGTCACCGCTCGGGGCTGCCGAGCAGTGAATTATGAGCAGCCCCGGGCCGGGCTGCAGCTCCCAGCGAGGATGGGATTGCTCGGGATGCAGCGTTCCAGGAGATGCTGGGGTGTTGGGATGCTGGGACCCCGATCCCTGCTTGCTGCCTCCCTGCAGAGCTGGGCTTTGCTGCTCTCAAGGGATTTTTCTCCCCCCCCCTCAGCCCCTGGCACCGCTCAGCCCCCTCCTTAATTAATTTTGCAGACTCCACAGCCGGATTTGATGAAAAACATCCCACAAAAAGCCAACGAACAAGTCACCGAGCAACACTGCGGCCTCTTCTAATGATATTTTCTTTGTGGTTTTGGTTTGGAATATCTCCCTCTGAACTGAAGGAAGCCGCCTGCCTCTTGGGCTGCAAGGATTTGACTTTATCCCTTCATTTTCTCTCCTTCCTAAACGCTCAGTTCCGGCGCTTGGGACTCAGCAGGAGTTTGAAGTCGGCCGTGGCCCAGGAGGGTGTTGACCCCATTCCTTTCCCTGCCTCCTTCCTGCCCATTCTTGCACCGTCCTTGTTTGTGCCACCTCTGATGCACCCGCATCCCAAATTCCTCGGGGTTTAACCAAGCCCAGCTCATCCCACGTGTGGCTCCTCGCAGGGACCTGCTGCTGTCACCAAGAGGGATTTGTCCCACATCCAGCTGGGACAGGACATCCGTGTCCTGCAGCGCTTTCAGCAGGTGTCACCTCGTAGCTGCATCCTTTGGGAAAGGCCTTTTATCCAAAGGGATATGTGGGAGCCACCCCAGGCTTGCTCCTTCCCTGGACCATTCCAGCTCCCTCCAGTATGGTTGTATTTTATCTGTGGAGCTCTGGAAGGATTTTGTTCCGTCATCCTGGAATTTTTATGACTCCTTTGTGTGTATATAATGCGATTGCCCTGCAACAGAGGGAAATTAATCATAGTTCCTTTGTTAGTTTTCAGGAATTTTTAATGTCTATGTTTTCGTTCATCTGTCATGTCCAAATGTGGGGGTCCATGGGCTATTTGACATTTCAAATGACTTAATTGCTTAGATTTCCCCCCTCGGTGTTTACGGACACTTGTTCCTCGCGGGTTTTGCGCGTGACATTCCCTACCGCGGATTTCCCGCCTGGTTCCCATCCCTCGCTCCATTCCGGCGGTTCACAACATCCCCTCTGGATCCCGTGTGCGATCCCCCTCGCCTTGGGTCCCACCAGCCTGCAGCACATCCCTCCCCTGTGCCAGGACCGGGAATCCGGGGCTCCTGGGGGTTTTTTCAGGATGCTGCGCGAGGAGGTGTCACCGGGCTGAGAGCAGCAGACGCGGGGAGAGCAGAGGGCAATCTCCAGGATCAGCCTGCAAACATCCAGCTTGGAGACGCTCTAAATCCCGCTGGATCAAGGGTGGCTTGACTGGTCAAGGAGAGGCAGCCAAGCCAAACAGGAGCGGCTCCCAAACCTCCTCCACCAGCCAGAGGCTCACAGTTACGCTCTGGATTTTGTGATTTCGGTGCTGATACCATCCCGGTTAGAGGCAGCAGGGTGAGGTGTGGGGATCATGGAATATTCCCCAGATCCCACAGGGATCATCGAGCCAGGACGATCCCAACACCGTGACCGGCAGGCAGGCTGACATTTTGGGCTCTGAGCAAACACCGGGGGATCGATGGAAGCTGCCTATCACCAGCCGTGTTACACACATCATTAGCAAAGCGTTAATTAAAACAAAAGTTGCAAATTGTACCAGGCTGCGCTGCCTTTGCTGCGGCTCCGTAATGGCTTCGACGCTTCCTTGGGCACGTTCGCTCCTTCTCCGCCGAGGCTGCTTTGCATTAAGTTGTTTGTTTAGCAGCTACTGGGGTTTTTGGCAGGACAACTGCTGCCTCCCGAGGGTTGTGGAGCAGGAGGGGGCCCTGCAGTGCTGTCCCAGAGCAGCTGGACACGTCCAGGTGAACCCTCCTCGTGCCAGAGAGCAGAGCCACGGCACACAGCGCTGCTGCCCACGCCACCAGCAGCACCCTGAGCTGGAGCCGGGGGTCTTTGGCTCCTGCCAGGGCTGTGGGGAGCTGGGTCAGGCCCCTTGGATCACTCCTGGGAAGGTGTCCTGATGGGCCAAGGTCACCCAGATCCCAGAGCCCTCTGTGAACCCCCCCAGCCCCGACATGTGCTAAAGGAAACAGTCCCAGAGTATTAATACTTGCAAAAACAAACACCGGGGAGATGGGAGAAGGAAGGAGCCAGGCATTTAGGGAGCGTGAAGTCTCTCCTCTCTAAAGTCTGATCCCTCTGTTTCCTACAGCCATTGACTCCCTGAGCATCCCCGTGCCAGGGGCACCCTCTGGAAATGGGGCCTTCCTTCCAAGGGGCACCTGCACCCCTCTCAAAGCAGGATTTGCCTTTTTTTGGGGGGTCTCTTCAGCATCTCCAGCGCTCACATTGCAAAGCACATTCCTGATTTCCATGTGGGAGAGCGAGGAGAGGAGCCAAAGGCACGGGAGATGTGGCATGGCCACGGGAGGTGCTGCAGGATCAGCAGCTCCATGAACCTCCCGGCCTGCTGCCTCTCCTCAGCACTTCTCATGGAATCCTGGAATGACTGGACTTGGAAGGTTGGTTTGGAAGGGGCCTTAAAGGCCATTTCTTCACTGGGAGGGTTGTCCACGGTGGAGTCACCATGGAGGGATGTAAGGGATGTGCAGGAGAGGCCCTTGGGGACAGGGGTGGAGGAATGGCTGAACCCGATGATCTGAGAGGGCTTTTCCAGCTTAGGCAACCCAATGATCTCATGAATCCAACCAAGCAATTCGGTGCTCGCACAGAAAGCACAAAATCACTGCTCATCTCCCTGGCACTCATCAGCCTGTCCAGCTGGCATCGACCTCCAGCCTGTCCCGTGCCAAGCAGCGACCCCGCCGCCCTCACTCCGTGAAACCCGGGTGGGGAAAGCCCCGATGGGAACCCAGAGGTGGCTGCGTCAGAAAGCTGCTGACAGCCCCGCCGTGCCCTGCCCAGACCGGCTTCAAAATGCCCCCAATTAACCAGGGAGGGATGCGCCCGTGCCCGGGGGCGTTCGGTGCCGCTGCGAGGGGAGATTTGGGCACCGGGCCCGGGCTGGTCCTTGCCCGCGGTGGGCACCGGGTCCAGGGGTGCAAAGGCGGCGAACCGGGGCGATGCCGTGGGCAGAACCGGGGCTCGGGGCTGGCAGCACCGGGGCAGCGTCGGCGCGTCTGGCTGAGCCCTGGCGGGGCGGGACCGGCACCGGGAGGGACCGGGGCGGCACCGGGAGGGACCGGGGCGGGGCCGGGCGGTCCCGTCGGCTCCGCTGCGAGAAGCAGCCGGTGCCTCCTCCGGGGGAGCCGCGGACTCGTCTGGCTGCGGGGCGGGAGCGGCAGCGGCAGCGGCACCGGGACGCACCGGGGCGAGACGGGCACCGGCAGCGGCACGGGAGCGCAGCCCGGCTCGGGACCGGGCGGGGCGGGGGAACCGGCCGGCTCCAAACCCGCCCCCCGGCGCGGGAGGAGGCGGTGGCCGAGCCCCCCCGCCGCGCTCCAGCCGAGCCAGACCCGCGCCAGCCCCGAGCCGCTCGCCCATGGCGACCCCCGGCCCCACGCGTGCCCCGGCCCCGGCACGGAGCCGCCGCTGAGCGCTGCGCACCGGCACCGGCCCGGCGTCCAGGTAAGCGCCGCGGGCGGCCCCGGCTCGGCAGCGCCGGCCCCGGGCACCTGCCCGGCCCGGGACGCCGCTGCCCCGCGCCGCCGCTGCGGCACCGGCGGCGGCTCCGGTGTCCCGGTGAAGCCTCTTCCCCCCGGTCTCAACCGCGGGGCTTCGCCGCTGTTTATTCCCCGCCGCCCGCGCCCGGCGGGTCGGATGCTGCAGGAGCCGAACGGGAAAGAAACGGAGCCTTTCGGGGTCCCCCGGGGATGGGGGGAGAGGGGGGACCCAGCGCCGTGCCGGGCTCGGGCCGGGCTGTGCGGCCGCCGCAGGACTTTGCTTCATACTTGGAGCCCGTCCCGCCACGCAGGAACACAAACACGGCGCGGGACGGCTCCGGGAGCGCGGGAGGGAGGAGATGGGTCCTGTCTAAATATTAGTTTAAGGAACGGAAGGATCTCCAGCCGGCATCGCCAGCCCCGTCACCTTCTCCCAGCCCCGGCCGCGCCGCGGTGCTGACCGTGTCCAGAGCTCGGCTGGGGCTGGGGGGTGAATTTCCCCCCATCCTCGAGGGAGGGAATTTCCCCCTCTCGCCGCCGTGTCTCCGAAGGCTTTAACAAAACAAGGCAGACCTCGGGTGTCTTTATTGCACATATATGGTAGCTTGTAGCCAGCACTGATTTAAATCCCATCCTCGCTCCGGGAGCCGATCCGCAATCAGGCGCTGGGTGAAGGGCACGGTTTATCCCAGCGGGAGAAGGGGCTGGTGCCTGTTGGAGGCGCCGTGTGAGTCCTGGATGTGTGCCGAGATGCCGGATCTAAAGGCAGGATCCCAGCGGATCCCAAATTCATCCTCTCGTGGTCGTGGGTGCTTTTGGGTTTAGCGCTCTGCCTAGCACAGGGCAGAGAAACCGAGCAGGGAAGGGACGCCTCTGTGCCGAATTTTAGGGTGTGTGAGCGCTTGGGTTTTGCTTTTTACCCTTTGGTTCCGACCCAAATCTGCCCGCTGCGGCGGCTGCAGATGCTCCGTGCTGTGGCAGTGCCCCGGTGTGACCGCCCTCGGTGTCACCCCCGGGTTCATCCTGCGCCTCCATCCCAGCAGCGCCGGGGCTGCGGGGAAGGATTAGACCTTCCTGTTCCTACACCCCGGGTTTTTAAGCAGCAGCTGGGTGTCGGAGGGCCGGCTCGGGCCGGTCCGGCTCGGTTCTGCCCGGAGGAAGGCGTACGGGAGCTGCGGCGCATCCCGGGAATGCCGGGTGCCCTCCCGCTCCCGCAGCAGGATGCGGTACCGGGGCAGAGCCTTTGCAGGGGCAGAGCCCGGCACCTTCCAGGCCTCGTGGCTGGGCTGGAAATAAAAGGAGCTGCTGCGGTTTGCCGTGGCACAGCCCGGGGGACACGCAGGGACAGGGGGTGGGCACCCCCGGGTGACGGTGCCAAGGGTGGGGGGTGCTGGGCCCGGCTCTGGTGGCACTGGGTGCCCTCCCACGGCACTGCCATGTGTCACAAAGTGCTCGGCCACCTCCCTCCCGGAGCCCCCTTGGGCCGTGCAGGGTGTGGGGGCTCCAGGCTGCGCTTTGGGGTTGGTTTGCACCTTTGGGGGGTCGGCAGGGATGGATGTAAGACTTCCAAGATCCCCTTTTTGGGGTCAGGGTGCCTCTCATGAGCCCTGAACACAGCCCAGCCAATCGTGTGGCCAGAGCAGGTGTCACCTTGACTGTCCCCAGTGCAGCATGGGGCGGGTGACATTCAGAGCCCTGTCTTGTCCCCACCCTGTTGTGCTGAGCCAGGCCATGCCCTCACAGGGGTGCGTTTGGGGGGCACAAAGAGCTGGCAGCTGCCTCTCGATGTCACCCCTGCCCATGGAGCAGCTCGGGGTGCCCAGCAGGGCCAGGGAGATGCTGAGGGGAGAGGAGGAGGCCCTGTGTGGGTTCCCATCAGGAGGTGAGGTAGTACAGGGCTGGGCTTTACTGGTGTGGGTTTGTGTTACTGGTGTGGGTTTGTTTCACTGCTGTGGGGTTATTTCACTGGTGTGGGTTTATTTCACTGGTGTGGGTTTGTTCCACTGGTGTGGGTTTGTGTTATTGGTGTGAGTCTGTGTCACTGGTGAGGGCTTTACTGGTGTGGGTTTGGGTCACTGGGGTGGGTTTGTGTCACTGGTGTGGGTTTGTGTCGCTGGTGTGGGTTTGTGTCGCTGGTGTGGGTTTGTGTCGCTGGTGTGGGTTTGTGTCGCTGGTGTGGGTTTGTGTCGCTGGTGTGGGTTTGTGTCGCTGGTGTGGGTTTGTGTCGCTGGTGTGGGTTTGTGTCGCTGGTGTGGGTTTGTGTCGCTGGTGTGGGTTTGTGTCGCTGGTGTGGGTTTGTGTCGCTGGTGTGGGTTTGTGTCGCTGGTGTGGGTTTGTGTCGCTGGTGTGGGTTTGTGTCGCTGGTGTGGGTTTGTGTCACTGGTGTGGGTTTGTTTCACTGCTGTGGGTTTGTGTCACTGGTGTGGCGTTATTTCACTGGTGTGGGTTTGTTCCACTGGTGTGGGTTTGTGTCGCTGGTGTGGGTTTGTGTTGCTGGTGTGGGTTTGTTTCACTGCTGTGGGTTTATGTCACTGGTGTGGGTTTGTGTCGCTGGTGTGGGTTTGTTCCACTGGTGTGGGGTTATTTCACTGGTGTGGGTTCATTCCACTGGGATCACTTGGCATCCCAGGAGCGCAGCCATGGGGTGGCCCAGTCCCTTGGTCAAGGTGAGCCACCTACTCCAGCACCACCATTAACGGCTTGGACAGGAGAAATCCCACCCAGCTCGGATCCTTCTGGGATTTGGCCAGTCTGGAGCAGCATTTCCCTGTGAAACTTGGAGAAGAGGAAGAGCAGCTCCCTCCTGGCTGTGCCAGGCTGGTGCAGCGTTGCCCTCGTGCGCGTCGGAGCGAAGCCGAGGGAAAGGAAACACCACGGGCAGCTCCGTTCCCATCTCTTCTCCCTCACAAAACCCAAAACTGCCTCTCTTCGTGGCCCAGCATCCCAGAGCTAAATTGAAACAATCCCTTTGCCACCGAGGAGCGTTTCCTGCGCAGAGGAGGCGTCAGCCCTCGCAGGAGGTGCCGCTCGCCTCAGCGCGGCTTTCTGGGCTGTTTTCCTTTGCACGGAACCACATTCCATTTGTTTTCCCTCAGCAGAGGTTCCCTTGGCAGGGTTGGAGGGGAGGGAGGCAGGGCAGCCCTGCAGCAGGAGATGCCCCAGGAGGGGAAGTTCCTCCTCCGGCATCGCTCCCAAGCCGCAATCATCCAAAGCAGGAGTTGCGTTTTTCTCTGTTTCAGCAGCTTTTTTTTGCAGCACAGGGACCAGTGGTGCTTGGGCAGGGTGATGAATCCCATCCTGGAGCTCTCCCGGGCTCTGAGGATGGAGCTAATTCAGGAGCAGGGTCCTGGTTTGTGGCTCCAGGCTTTAGGGAGTCCCTTAATTAAATCCTGGCCTGCTTTGGAGGTGGCTGCAAAACCAGCCCTGGTCCTTCCCAGTGAGAAAACCAACTTTGCTCCATGGTTGTCATATCTGGGTCTTGCTGGTGATGGCAGCGATGCAGAACTGGCCAAGCCCCATGGCTTGTGGGGGCCTTTTTGCCTTTAAAAATATTGGTTTTGGCTGAAGGAGCTGCCTGGGAGCCCGGGGTGTATTTACTGCTGCTGTTGTCACTCCCACAAGGGCTGTGGGACTTGTTGGTGGCATCTGGTGGCCGATGGCACGATGACACAGGGTAGGTCCCCCCAGTCCTGGAGCAGGGCCGGGTCTGCAACCAAAATCCCAAATCCTTGCAGGGTCCATCCCAGTGGTTGTGTTCCCCAAGCTGCACTGGGAGAACAGGCAGGGAATGCTCCCAGCAAGGTGCTGGGGTGGCTTTTTTGGTTTTCCCCGGGTTTCTCCCTCTCTGCTGCCTTCCCAACTCTGTGTCCTCGTGTGGCACAGGGAGACACCAAGGCCAGCCCAGACCTCGGGTGTGAACCACAGCACCCCCACCACTGCAGGAACACCCATCCCGTCCTCCCCAGAGGCCGGCCTCTGATTTAACAGGGCAGCTGCTGTCTTCATTAAGTGGTGTTGGCTAATTAAAAGCACATTTTTGAGGCTTAGCAGCTCCTCGGAGCCATCTGGGAGGGACGGTGCCAGCGCTGGGGGAGGACGCGGGAGGAGCAAAGCTCTGAGCTGGGCTGGGCACCCTGAACTGGGACAAAACCCCACCTGTTTGGTGTCCAAGAGAAGTTTAGGGAGGGAAAAGGAGAGGTTGGAAGGATCCAGGCAGGATTTGGGTGGTGTGAACCCTCTGAGCATGGACAGGGCTGTGTCCTGGCAAAGCGTGGCTCGTGGTGGGATCTCCCTGAGAGAGGAGGGATGGGGAGGAGGATGCTCCAGTCTCCAGGAGCAGGTCATGGAATTGTGGAATGGTTTGGGTTGGAAAGAACCTTGGGCAAGGACACCTCCCACTCCCCCAGCTTGTTGCAAGCACAGGCCTTGGACACTTGCAGGGATGGGGCAGCCCCAGCTGCTCTGGGCAGTGAATTTGAGGATGGTTGATGTTTCCTGTCCCTGACCACCAGCACAGGAGCTGCAGCAGGACCAGCTGCCAGCCCCATTCCCACGGGCAGTGACAGAGAAATGCCCCAATCCATGTTTTGCTGGAGTTCTTTGGCCCAGCCATTATCTTCCAACAGCATTTTCCTGAATTTCTTGTTGCTCTGAGCAGCCTCCGGTCTGGCAGAGGTGGAAAATGGGCAAGCAAAGGTGCAGGTTGTCTGTGTCACCTGCCCCTCCCCTCGCTGCTGGTGGCAGGGCAGGATTTGGGTGGCCCTGTTCCAGTTGTAATCGGTGTTTTTATGGCAGCAGGAGAAACAATCCCAATCTTTCACCCACAGCTCAGCCGGCTCTGAGCTGGAGCCATGGGCGAGGCCAGCAGGGTGGGAAGGGCAGAGAGGCCACAGCTCTGCCCCCACGCCGATATCCAGGGTGGGAGCAGAGGGAAAACTTTGCTTTTTAGGAAAACAAAAGGAAACA